TTTTTCAGAATAAATTTGCTTATACCAATGTGGACATAAATTGCGTTATGACCTCTGAATCTATAGCGGGATAAGTGTAATTTTTTGTTTATAAAGTCAATTTGCAATTATGCAAATATTTGTGAGTGCAATTAGCAATCTTTTAAGTTAAATTTCAGCTTTTAAAATAGAGTTTTCAAATAGGCGGCGTTGACTTACCTTTTTTTGTTTGTTTTCATATGTTAATGCTTTAATAAATGCAATTTCTATTTGAATGTATTGTCAGGAATGTATTTCAAGTACTATTAAGTATTTTAAAAACAAAAAAATTTTGACTTTCGTCCAGCTAGATCGGCTATCCGAACCACTGTGCGGCCCCCTTCCCCTCTCCCGCCGTGCTGTAACGCAGGTAGATTTATTTTTCGTATACGTTGAAATAAAATTTTTATATATTTTACATATCGAGGACTTATATTCAATAATACCCTCTATCTGCATATCTGATATAAAAATCCACCTAAGATTTAACTGTCATCGGTGATATTAATGCTACCTTATATAACGCTTGACAGAAGAATTTACACTGTTATAAATTGGAAATCAAAAGTAATATTTCAGTGATGACAGGTAATAAGTGCCAGATGGTTTCTAAAATCACAAAATAGTTTTTGTGCAAATTGCAGATAGAGGGTATTAATGAATTTATATTTGTAAGTTATTGGAAGATTTCTGCTGTGTTTTGGCAACAACTTGTCTGCAGTAAGAAAGCATATAATTTGTGTTTCAAAAGTGTGTGAAAACCAAAAACCAATCAATTAACTTACATGATCTCGGTTACGGTATTAAATAACACAGGTCTACAAAAAAATGGGTTCGGAATGTTCTATAAAAGTGTAGTGTCATTTCCGAAGTAATTTTTTGCGTAGAATCCGAATCCGGGGTTTAAATTGCTCTATCACGTCAGGACTTTGAGATATCCTAACCTAAAAGTGCAAAAAACGCTGTTTTTGCCCATTTTTGAGGTTATGTAGCTACGAAGATTTTGCTCTTCATAAAAAAGTAGACGTAGTATTTTAAAGTATAAGTCTTCCTCTTTTAAATGCCGTTGAGTTTGCTCAAATATCTTAATTTTTCACTGATATCGCATTTTGAAGTCTCCATGTTTGTGAATGTAATCGACCGTATCACGTCTCATGTTATCTCAATGGATTTTCGAATATCGAAAAATTCACAAACATGGAAACTTCAAAATGCGATATCTCAGTGAAAAATAAAGATATTTAAGCAAACTCAACGGCATTTAAAAGAGGAAGACTTATACTTTAAAATACCACGTTTACTTTTTTATGAAGAGCAAAATCTGCGTAGCTACATAACCTCAAAAATGGGCAAAAACAGCGTTTTTGCACTTTTAGGTTAGGATATCTCAAAATCCTGACGTGATAGAGCAATTTAAACCCCGGATTCGGATTCTACGCAAAAAATTACTTCGAAAATGACCCTACACTTTCCTAGAACAAAACGTTGTTGACCTGTGTAATCAATAATTGTTTATACTCGCATTTTGGCACATTGGCTTGTTGAATGTGTCATCTAATAAATAATGCCGTCGTTCTCCTTAGCTGCTTTTAAATGATGTCACAAATTGCTGGCGGAGACATGAATAGAGGTAAGAACATTCCTTTTCTGTAATTGTTTCTTTATAAAAAGGTTGGTTTCTTTTTCTTTTTGTTTATAGTAAAATTTATTGATTTTCAATATTTTGAGGAAAATTGTGGATTCTGATGCATTTCATTTCATTTCATTTCATTTATTAAGTCTATGATTATATAAACCTTACAGACTAGATTCACAAGTTTAACTTAACTAAAAATGTATAACTAAGAATATAGGGATTCAATCATTGAGCCAAAACGAGATCTCGGGAGTGCAAAATCTAGATCAAGGCTACTAAATATTCGATTGAATTCAATGAGAGCTCTAGCAATGGGATCAAAATAATGGTAATTGGCTTTGATTAGCTTGACATGAAACGGATAGTGAAAGCGTAGTGTTCGTTGCGGAACATTGAAGCTTATCAGCTCAAGTAGCTCCGGGCAATCAATAAGACCAGAAATGATATCGTAAACAATAGAACCCTGCATGCGACATTCATTTCTAGCATTTACACGACTTAGTCGAATGTGAATGTACTGCTCATTCTATTTACACAAGCTAGTGTACAACGTGGTGAATATTCACAGCGAAATAAGAGAACAATAACAATACTCTCGTATCCCTCTCTTGACTGAATACTGAAATCATCTCCTAGCGACGCTCACTTACGCTCACCGATCGGCCATGGTCATTCATGACTGAACGAGCAAGCTAATAAATGTTACGAATGTGGCGAATGTGTTGCGCAGGCAGTCATGTGACCAGCGATGTCTGCTGGTGCAGCAGGCAGCAAGCGCTTGGCAATAATGATTAGTAGATGCTTTTCATATTTTTTTTTGTAATGAGACATGGATAGGAAAAATGTTGCTACCTACATACATACATATATATGTACGTATGAATGTACTTTAGACTATGCTGAAAATATACATATTTAATATATACGGAAGAAAATGCGTAGCACCGTCAGCAAAAAAAAAACATCAAAAATCTACACGGACTTTAAAAGAAATTTAAAATTTGCACATTATTATACTAAAATTTAATGGGCTATAACGTATGCTGGATTTTTTTAATTACTGATTAAAAAGTTTGTAATTTTCATGAAACTGCAAATACTCATAAATTTCGTACAAAGTTTGAAACTTGGATTTATATGGTGTTTGTTAAAACTTAAGCCATGTTTTAATACAAAGTTAACAAAAAATATTTAATATGAAAAACATTTCGAATATTAAAAAAAAAAATCCCCTTATACTCAATTTTGTTAGTAAGGGCGTGTCCTTAAATATTTCCTTTAGAGAATTTGGCATTGTTAAGGAGGATACCTTCCCTCTAGTAAACCAAAACTAGTGCGTACAAGTTTAAAGAATGCAGCAGCACTAATATTTCTATAATAAAAAAAACAGCCCCTCTGGGATTTTTTCACTTGCCGATTTTTACATAAACCTTTTTTTAATATACACACATATGTATTAAATGTATATACGAAACGCCAGAATGGCATTGTATGCAACTGCGTTTATGCAAGTTCACAAATATACAAGCATAATTAAGCTACTAAAGGGTCAGCTTACCAGGTATGTAGGTTAAGACCGGGAGATATATGAAGAATATGAAACAGGCAAACAAAATTTAAGAATTTGGGCTTTCCAAATTATTGATTAGTGGTTACCCGCGTCAACCCTAACTCTCAATGTTCGCATTTTCGTTTTGCATTGCATGCAACAAGTGTCTATTTCATTACCAGCTGAATAATATCTAAAAAGTGATAGTGTAAAAACGTTGCAATGGACGCAGAAGATGTAAGTGTATCTAAAAAATCACTTTCCAAATTTTTTAAAAGTATAATTTTGTTTAAGTTGATAGTGTTATAAATAAGCATATTTTTATATTCTTATAGAATTTAATGATGGCTTCCTCATCTAGCAACGATCCGAATACATCCAGAATAGAGCTTAGTAATTCAGATATAAAGACTAAAATTATTCAGCACGAATTTAAAATCAGTGATAAAATTGGAAAAAGTAAAGTCTGGGAGATTTTTGGTAAAGTGGAGAAAAATAACGGAGAGGAAATCGAAAATGTTGTAGCATGTAGAAAATGCATAAATGTGTACAAGTTCTCAAGGAATAGCACATCAAATTTAGTTAAACACAAGTGCTATTTGATATCAAGATGTAACGATAGTACTTTGGCGGCAAAAATAGACGTCGGCGTTGAGACAAAAAAAGCCGGAATACGAATTCTGACAATGTGGATAGTAGAGAGTTGTCGATCATTTAAAATTGTGGAAGACCCCGTATTGACGAGATTTTCAGAATTTCTAATAGCAACCGGTGCAAAATATGGCCAACATATAGATGTAAGCAAGTTACTACCCCATCCAACAACAATCGTGCGAAATGTCGGTAAAATATACAATGTATATTTCGAAAAAATACGAGAAGAAATTCAATCGGTAAAAAACGTGGGATTTGGCCTCACATCCGACATATGGACAGATGATTATTTAAGAACATCATATTTATCTTTGACGATTCACTTTGTCAGAAATGGGCAATTAATCACTCATCTTTTGGGAATGAAGTCAATGGAAGGCGCAAAATGCACAGGTAGTTAAACTCAAAACCAAAACTTTTTCAATTATTATTATTATTATTATTTACATTATTATTATTATTATTTACATTATTATTATTATTATTTACATTATTATTATTATTATTTACATTATTATTATTATTATTTAGTTGCTGATCAAGATATTTTATATTTTATTTTTAAAGGTGGAAACATTACAACAAAGGTTGAGAAACTCTTGGACGAATTTGATTGCGCACTCGTCGACCAGGCCATTGTTGTCACAGACAGAGGCTCAAACATGGTGGCAGCATTTCGCACCTTCAACCACATAAACTGCATAAACCACTTACTGCACAATATACTGGAAAAATCGATGAAAGAAGTTACTGAGGTCGCGAAACTTTGCAAATCTTCTACGAAACTAGTTAAATTTTTTAAAAAGTCGGGCATAAATTCCTCATTAAGATCATCTTTAAAAAGCTTTTCATGCACACGTTGGAACACTATTTATTATATGATTTCTTCAATAGAGAAAAGTTGGGTTGAAATCGTGAATATATTAGAACAGAAAGATGAACTTGACAGAATGCATAATGTTAGCTTAGAATGCATTAAAGCAGTAATTAAAATATTAAAACCCCTTGAAGAGTCATCGAAGATACTGGAAGCTGAAAAGAATGTCACTCTTCATTTGGCAGTAGTACATATACACCGTTTAAAGAAATCGTGCATGCCAAACAATGAAGATACAGATATTTCCAAAAATTTAAAAGAAAAATTGCTTGATCTCATTGATACTATTGTCCTGCCAAACATGTCGATATACCACAAAATAGCACTTTTCCTGTTCCCTCCAGCCAACAAGTTAGTTTTGTTTGATGAAAATGAAAAAATGTGTATAAAAGAAGAATGTAAAAACATAATGAAAAGCTACTTGAATGATATAAGTAACCAACAAGGTCAAACCGAGTCTTCTACTTCCGTTTCGGCTTACAATTCGCAAATTTTTATGGACTTTTTGCAACCTCAGCAGTTAACCATTAATTTGGAGGAAAAAGTCAACAATGAGATACGCATATATGAAGGCACAAATGTAACATTTCATGATGATTTCGATATTCTTCAGTGGTGGCACTTGCATCAAACCCAATTCCCATTATTATACAAAACAAGCTGTAAAATTCTAGCGGTGCCAGCTAGTAGTGCCGCTTCTGAAAGGGTTTTTTCAAGGGCTAGGCTTCTCATATCAGAGAAACGAAGTTTGATCGGTTCAAACCCAGTTAATGTCAACCAACTAATGTTTTTACATTCTAATGTTAAGGAAAATGATATTATAAAAGAGTTGGAACAAGAAACTTATTTTTGAAAATAAAATGTTATAGTTGTGAAGTATTAAAGTAAATCATATCGCTCGTACATACGCACATATGTTATTATCTGAAGTCTGTTTTTATTTTCATTAAGTGTGCATGTAGGAATGAATTAAATTTTAGTTATTGAAAAATGTTGCTTTTCTTACTTACAATGAAATACATAAATATAATAACGATTTTTATTTATTAAGTAGTTATGGAAAAATCTAATTATTGGTTATTTTCAATAAATTATTTAAAAAAACGTAGTAAAACATGGCATTTTTTCTAATTCTTTTGCTTCCGTTTATCAAAAGGCAAATATTTTGCTATGTGACAATAGCACACATTCGAATACTCACTGTGTTTCGTCAGATATTCGCACACTCATCGGCGGCAGTACAACTGTCTTGTATCGCTTTGCACACCATGTGTCTCTTTATTTTTTGTGCCAAGAAAGCAGTTCTCACTATTCTCTACACACTCATTCATTCACCTTGCTTGCTAAGGGTTGAATGAGCAAACAGTTTGGAGCACAAACGACTGTCTCATAAATGCCAACCACTACATTCATGCAACCGTCTAGTAAACAAACATCAGCGAATGAATGGATCTTCTCGATTCAAGTGACTTCATTCCTATTAGCATACAGCGGGCACAATAGGGTGGCAAAGGAGCAGTGAAATTAAGTGGTTTGAGAGAAAAACGAATAAAGCTCCGCTGCACTCTTTCAATTCTATAGGAATGAGATGAGTAGATCGGATTCCAGATTAAGGAAGCATATTCCAATTTTGAAGTTATAGCAGCGGGGTAAGAGCGCGCTATGGCAATGTCCTCACAAAGGTATGCGGAGCTGCCGGGCATAGTAACCATGGGCGCATCTATGTTAGCTTCTGGTTGAATTGTTGAACCACAAGCAAGAACTCCTCCTATGCCTGAAGCTCTGGTTCTCAATCCAGTTAATGCAATAACAGCTTCTTCCAAGCCATTGAAAACATGCACTTTGTTAGGTCCACCACCTGTTGCGCTTGCTTCTGCCTTCGGTCGAGCTTAGGGATTATAACCCTTACTAAGTAGAATTCTCCTTTCTGTGTTGCGGGGAAGAGGGGCTTCCGCATGTCAAAGGTATACAACATTTCTTGTGCATATCACTCCGGCTACGCCGTCCACAGTATTTTTGCGCAGAACCCACGTCGAAATTTGCAAAAAAGTGCATAGTGCAAACCGAGTATTAATAAGAAAATTTGAAACATTTATCTTAAAAAATGTGAATCCTTTGATTACACGTGTATGTTAAAGTTTTTGGATTCGGGCTATGCGCTTGGACACAACAAAAGAAAATTTTTAAACACCAGCGACTTCAATTCTCATAAAAATTGATCAATAATTTCTCCACGATCCAAACACCGTATCTAAACCAAATTAGTAGGGGAGCACCCTTGAGGTGCCACCTTTCTGATAAAAAGGAATTATCGAAGTAAGTTCAAGTAGTCCAAAGTTATGCGGCAACATATTTACATAAAAAAAAAAATATTCCTCCTTGTTTGAAGTCGGTCAAGACTTGCAAAATGTCGCGTCCCTATTTATGTATATATTCGCCAGTGTATATATACATATGTTAACTGTGCTACAAATTTTGTGATGAAACGGGGCAATATTCGTTTTAAGTTTAAGTGGTTATAAAAAGGACTTTATAACTTGAAATTGGTAAGTTTTTCAACTAACATAATAAGGGTTATTTACAGCCTTAAATACAATATCGAATTTTGTGTTTCTTTTTAGGTATTTTTAAATTAAAATTTTTTGGGATCGAAAAGATTTTTTTTAGCTTTAAAATCTTATTTTGAAGATTTTTTTTAGAACAAATTAAGATTTTTAGTGAGAATTACTCTCTCAAACCTCTTAACTCCCGAGAATGTACCAAAGAAACAAAAATAGACAGTTTAGGGCACTCGCGGGCGAGCAAAAAACCAGACCTGGACCAAACTTTCCCAGCAGCTTTGTGTTGTTATACACATACAAAAATTTTAGGTAATTGCTATACACAAGAGTTGCATTGAAACCAAAAGATAAACTTGAATTTATGCTGTGGGAGCTTCAAAACTTATATCGCATGAGGCGATTTTATAGGCAACTTTTAGTTGAAAGCAACAATCGCCTGGTGTGAACGGCGTTTGAACTAATCGCTTCCAATGAAGTTAAGGGGGGCAGCCAACTTTTGATTCAGCTAATCGCCTTTAAAATTGCCTGGAAAATCGCCTGAGGCGAACACCGTACTAGGCAACAGATAATTGCCTATCCAATATCATAAAAAAACAAGTGAATCCGCATGACATTAAAGCGCCAAAATTGAATTTAACTTTTTAGATGGTGACAACAAAACCTAAAAAAAGCTTCGAAGTGCTAGACAGAATTTATAAGCGATCCGCGTGCCAAATTTTATCTAAATCTGCCTAGCTATTTCTGAGTGAAGAGAGATGTCAGTTTTTCATGCCATCAAATTTGAAATCGAAGTTTGCCTGAAAAGCTTGGTGTTTTATTTTAACTTAATAAGAAATCTGGGCATATTTCATAAAAGTTACACGTGCGATGAAAAGACCAAGTGGAGAAGGACTTGGCTTCATTTGGCATTTCCATTTGACGTCAGTTGTCACAGAAGAGAAACTACTGATGTGCTTTGTTGAACTCAGCCAAAATCGCTTATAGCGTTTTCTTTTCTCAAAATAAGTTTTGCCCTTTATTTATATGCGAACTTTTGCTTTGGGTTGCCCTGAAACCTGAGAAAATGTTGCGTTCTTCATATGAGAATGAAACAGAGATTATGCTACTCCATCAGAAGTTCATTTATAGAACTTATAAATGCGGTTAAACGTGGCAATGCAAGCATTTTTTCTACGAAATCGAAAGTATACTTACTTTCCCGTGTAAACGGCCAAAGTCCTTTTTGCAGATTTGCAGAAATCACTTTCGAAAATAAAAATTGCAAGGTGTAACTGTAACTGAAATTACGCGAATCGCTTTCGAGAAATAAAATCAACTTTCTCGTGCCGCACTAGCAACTTTCATTTTAGCTGCAAGTGCTATCAAAACAATCGAGTGTTGCAGTGTGACGCGATTTTTTGCCGAATTTGTGTACGATTATAAAAATGTTGCATCACATTCAAAAATATACTTATAATTAATTTATTCTCTTGATATGAACAATTTAAATATTAAAGCATTAGACACTTAGGGACAAATTCACAGTGCGTAGTTTACTCAGAATCGGCAGTTAACTACAGATATTCAGTACAAAATAACCACTAAGGGCCGAATTCACAGTTCGTAGTTTTTTTTTATACTGAAAATCTGTAGTGAGCTGCCGCTTCTAAGTTAACTGCCACAAATCTGTAGTTAACAGCCGATTTTGACTTAACTACGCACTGTGAATTTGGCCCTTAGTGATTGTTTTGTGCGCATTTGAGCAGTTTTAACAAATTTGTCAGACCAGAAATTTTGTTATAAGCATAAAAAAGTCTGGTAACATATTTCAAAGTGGACTTGTCTGCATTCACCGTGTAAACAGACAAAAAGTAGCATCGGAAAGTTTGATTTTCAGAAATAAAAACTGCTTTCGAATGTCACTTTACATGCAAGGTGTAATTGCTCCAGCAATCGCTTGGAAATTCTTGAGTTTGACAGACTTTTGAAAAGGACTTGCACTTGCCAGGTCTAACAACGACTTTATAATCTGAATTTTTCACTTGCACTTTAAGTCTTTACTTAATTTCACATATTTCTGATACGGAAATATTTTATTTTTACAAGCGTAAATTAAAAATCAGCCGTGCATCTCTCACCATCATGTTTATTTCAGTGCAGAAAAGGCAGCACTTTTTTCTAGGGATGTAGAAAAAATATCGATGCATCGGAAACATCGATGTTTGCTATTCGATGCATCGAATAAAACCGATGTTTTAGATGTATCGACTTTTGTGTGCAATGTACACTGTACATATTCAAATTATTTTGTATACTCCCAAACTCTTTGCTCTAGTAACTATTCTAAATGTGGAAATTTCACTATTTATGCACTATTAGAATATGACCCATTCCACGGTGACAGGTGTGACATTTCAACTCACATTTTAAGGCTAAATTCTTAAACTCTATATAGAATTCTTTAAAACGAGTATTTTCTAATAGGTTTCCGAGGTATACACAATGCCTAGAAAAAAATCAAAAACACTTTAATCCAAACGAGCACGCAAACCAAATTAGCTACTACTTGTATCAGAGTTTTTGTGCTAACTATGTCTTTTGCTTATGATTTTAAATAGTACATTGTATAGTTAAATAAACATTTTCAATATTTACGCCAATGTTGTTTAGCTCTATTGGAAATTATAGATTATATGTTCCAAATTCAATAGTGACGGGTGTGGCAAGTTGAGCATGAATACACAAATACACATTATTAGAAAAAATTAACTTTACTTCTCGGATTTTACGAACACATAAAATATTCTGTCACCTAAAGACGAGATAATCCTTGATCG